TCCAGCGATCTAAATCGGGTTGATAACATTCAACAATATTTAATGAACTGACTCCATCAAAACCTCCACACACGTATAGTCGGTCATTTAGTGCAGCTGCTCCAAGGGCGCTAAAATAAAATAAAGTTTTAATTTTAAGAAATATTWTAATATTATATTAAAATATTGTTGTAGATAAATTATAGTTGTATTGTGCATAAATATATTTTAGCAAACCAAATGCTTGTTTAAATTGCTTAAAAAATGTGTTATTGTATCAATATGACTGACCTACGTTTTCGATGCATTGGTGATACTATATTCCAAGATTTTGTTGAAGGATCAAATACTTCTACTGAAGATAATCTTTCAATTCCATTATACCCTCCAAATGCATACAGTTTATTATTTAGTACGGCTACTCCAACTCTACTACGTAATATGCTCATAGCTTCTGCAAGCTCCCATTGTTCAGTTAAAGGATTATAGATTTCTACAGTACTMAGTGAATCACCTAAAATAAAAAATGTGCAATGTTTTATTATAAAAKTAAGAGATTATTTGAAAGTCCACCAAATTATTTAAATACGCRAATACCTGATTTTGTAAGTCCACCAACTGCATATATGTGYCCACGAATATAACTGACACAACGAGGTCTAGTGCGAAAGCTTTGTAATAAAAGTCTTCTTTCAGGCATTAAATGGTAGTCTTTAGCTTCATCTAATAAATCTCTAAACAATAAATAAATAAATATGATATATTATTATAATCAATCTTAATGCAAGGTAACAAATTAAACAATTATAGGCTATTATCATTATTGTAAATCATAAGAGTTGKTAGGTTTAATTCGCTATGAAATTTTGATTTTGTATGCTTAATACAAATTGATTCATCAATCAACTAAATTTGGTAACCAACAATATTTAAAGATTGTATAATATTATTATCTGTAAAAAAAATTATACTTTTTTAAAAAGTATTTTAACATATTTTAAGTAATTTTTTTTAGTCATTTGCTTTCTAAAATATAAATATTGGATCTAAATACTTTAAATCATTTAAATTCTATAACTAAAAAAATATTAATGAAATATTAAAAAAATTCTAAACATCATTATTCATAATCATATAACAAATAGAATATGACAATTTATATTTAAAGACCAAGTAACACTTATATACTACAAGAAGTTTTAACCTGCATTCGTGAGATGATCTAATTAATTCTTCAGTAGCAACTCGATCAGCCAAGTAATGAGGCGAAAGTAATGGTAACCTTACTGCAGCAAGCAATTGAGGAAAACATTCTTGTCTCAATTCRTCTTGTTTCACCCAACGAATGGTTGCTTCGAATACCTAAAAAAATTTTAATTGTTACTTTTTGATTTTATTATTTTACATAACTATTGTAAAATCAATATTACCTGTTCTTCAGATGCTTGAAGCGCATCTTTATTAATTATGTCAATTATTTCAGAAATATTGAGGTTYAAAAAGTCTTCAGATAGTGATATATCAGGAAAATATTGAGCTATATATCTATTAGAATCAGTCATTAAGCCATAGCAGCCCAATGAATCAGCTAATGTACGTACTTTTAAAACATTATTTTGATGAAACCTATAAAATAATACCTATATTATAAAATATCTTACAAAAAAAATTGATTTGTTATAGTTATTGACGAGGTTATTGAGTAACATGTACTTCAACAAAAAATTAAATTTTGATTACCTTTCTTTAATGAATGTTGCACAAGCATTTCGTACCCATTTCAACTGCAAAAATGAAGCTCCAATTAATAGTGACTGAACATTATTGACATTTATTGATATTCGACCACTGTATGCAAAATTAATCAATGCTTCCAATGCTCTATGATTAAAAAAAAAAATTACATTCTAGGCACCTTTTTTTTATATATATATATATTTAAGAATTCTCTTTGATTTAAAATAAATCTTACTCAGGATCAATTCCGTGCATCACAATATCTTTCTGGGTACTTTCAATCATGTTATGTGTAAACATAGCATTAAAATATGGAACCGTGGCAGCTAACACTATACGATGGGCACTAAATGACATGTTTTCTACCTGATTAAAATTGGTTACCTTGTTAATAATATTCAATGAATAAACAATAACCATTTTCTGTAGATTTACTTACTTTCAACGTAACATCGCAAAGTTTTCCCATACGGCGTATGCCTTCAATAGCCGAGAAACTCTGAGAAAACAGATCGGCCTGATGATACACAAAGTATTCGTTTTCAATTGATGACGATTTCGGGAACGGTATCTTTATGGCAGAGTGCAATTTGGCCGGATTAAATGCCATGTTTTGTTGATCAATCGTCGCCTCTAATGCCATCTCGAAAAGCCTCTGTCCTTTGAGGCAATTTACGCAGAAAAARATAATAACAACAATCACACAAAACAAAAATCTAATTTACTAACACACAGATGTAACTGACTGTTTAAAGCTGGTACATTTTCGTTGCCAATATCAGTAAATGTCTATAATATGCCAATGTCAACGTCTACACAAAATAGATGAAATTTCAACTATAAAAAAAATAGTCTGTGGTCCCTGGCATTATAATGATATTAGCATCGCCAAGTTTTTCTATTTTCTACGAATTAAATAATGAGGGACATGTTCTTAGATCATATACCTTGTTTTATTATTTTAAACACATTGACATTTTTTTCTTTTTAAATACTATATAAGAAATACTGAAGTACTAATAAATAAAACAATAAAAATTAATAAATGAAATTAAGTTAAATTGTTATAAAAAATCGTGTAGAAANCTGTACATTGTACAGTAACAAGTTCCAAGTTTTACAGCTTTAGATTAGAACAATAGGTATTGACTTAAGTTTGGGTTATTTATATAATTGAACGATAACATTATGTTCTTATATACACCATTAATATTCGATTTAGTATTGTAAAATACCTCTGATTAACTAACACAAAAACATCTCCCATTTATATTAATGATATAAGCAATTTTGTATAAACAAATGGGTAACACAATATAGGAATGAGAGCTAGAAATATTTCACAGAATAAGAACTTATATTATATACAGGAAAGATGGACCTAATTAAAATCAGTAAGAAGAAATATTGAATTGCTGCAATCAGTGGTACAATGTGAAGACATGCAATACACAAAACTGAGCAGACCTATTTAAGCTTATACAAGCTGTAGGTAAGGTCTGGGCTGAATTCAACTTTTTTTATATCACCTAGTGCTCAGGTTGGAATGACTAATGAGTGTTTGATAAACAATTGAATATAGATTGCACAGTGATATCGACTATCAAAATGTGACAAAAAAGATCAGTCAATGTAAATAATATAACATACAATATTGTTTTTGTTGCCTATTCTATCGCTCGCACTGCGAGTAGGTATAATAAAGGTATAATAATATGTGATAATCTTATTATTATAACAGACATAAATATTTATGGAACTTCAGGTTCTTGTATGGGTATAACACCAACTCCGACTCCACCTTCATGGGCACACATGGAGGCTGCAAATGTCCAACAGTCAGCTTTTGGGTCGTACACTTCTACAGTGGGTAGATTCAAAAATCCATCATACCCACCAATGGCCCACAATTTTCCAGCATTGGCTACCAATGCCACACGGCTCCTTGTCACGTTCATTGGAGCCACAAATCTCCACCTGTAGAACCACAATAGTAAATTAAGCCACACTTAAATTAAACATGTTTTGTATGCCATTACTTGTCTGTCTGAGGATCATATTCTTCAACAGTTTGTAAAAATGTTGATCCATCATATCCACCACATGCATAAAGTTTACCATTCAATGTAGCCACTCCTAAGCGACACCGTTTTATTAACATAGGTGTTACAGATAGCCATTGACCTGTATATGTATCATATCGTTCAACCTGTAAATACAAATAAAATATTAATTATTAATCGAACAATGATTTTTTTACAACTTTTAAAGGGATAATGTTTATAGAACCACATAATCTTTATACAGATAGTATTACTTGTATAATTAGAAAGAAATTTGTGTTTTTAGTTTATTACCTTTAAAGTAGGTTAGCAAAGTATTTTTGCATATAATAGATAAAGAATATTTTGGACATACATTTTTCAAATCTATGTCTATTTTAGTATATTTCTTTTTAAAATTTTATGAACATTTTCTTGTGAAAATTTGCATTTGTATAAAAACAAAGTAAGATGGATTTAATTTTAGATGGATCTTAAAACAAGAAATCAAATATTTCTGTTTTAAGATTTTATAGTAAACTATTTATTTATTTTTAAATTTTGTAAACTATCATTTACTCCTATTTTATATTTATTATTTTTTTAACTTTTATGGAAAATTATACGTATTTTGATATCTATTTCAAAGTTTAATATTATGTATTAATAACTCGTATTGCCTTTTAATAATTATCAACTTACAGAGTCAAAAATACTTAGACCATCATGACCTCCAAGAATATAAATATATCCATCAAATGCGACTACRCCACCAGCACTGCGATGTTTTTGCATTGGTGTAATGATTGTCCAGCGATCTAAATCGGGTTGATAACATTCAACAATATTTAATGAACTGACTCCATCAAAACCTCCACACACGTATAGTCGGTCATTTAGTGCAGCTGCTCCAAGGGCGCTAAAATAAAATAAAGTTTTAATTTTAAGAAATATTWTAATATTATATTAAAATATTGTTGTAGATAAATTATAGTTGTATTGTGCATAAATATATTTTAGCAAACCAAATGCTTGTTTAAATTGCTTAAAAAATGTGTTATTGTATCAATATGACTGACCTACGTTTTCGATGCATTGGTGATACTATATTCCAAGATTTTGTTGAAGGATCAAATACTTCTACTGAAGATAATCTTTCAATTCCATTATACCCTCCAAATGCATACAGTTTATTATTTAGTACGGCTACTCCAACTCTACTACGTAATATGCTCATAGCTTCTGCAAGCTCCCATTGTTCAGTTAAAGGATTATAGATTTCTACAGTACTAAGTGAATCACCTAAAATAAAAAATGTGCAATGTTTTATTATAAAATTAAGAGATTATTTGAAAGTCAACCAAATTATTTAAATACGCAAATACCTGATTTTGTAAGTCCACCAACTGCATATATGTGCCCACGAATATAACTGACACAACGAGGTCTAGTGCGAAAGCTTTGTAATAAAAGTCTTCTTTCAGGCATTAAATGGTAGTCTTTAGCTTCATCTAATAAATCTCTAAACAATAAATAAATAAATATGATATATTATTATAATCAATCTTAATGCAAGGTAACAAATTAAACAATTATAGGCTATTATCATTATTGTAAATCATAAGAGTTGKTAGGTTTAATTCGCTATGAAATTTTGATTTTGTATGCTTAATACAAATTGATTCATCAATCAACTAAATTTGGTAACCAACAATATTTAAAGATTGTATAATATTATTATCTGTAAAAAAAATTATACTTTTTTAAAAAGTATTTTAACATATTTTAAGTAATTTTTTTTAGTCATTTGCTTTCTAAAATATAAATATTGGATCTAAATACTTTAAATCATTTAAATTCTATAA